GGGCTTCTAAGGGTGAAGAAAGCTCCTCACCCCCTAAACGAGCAAGAGCTGCCCGACCACAGGGTCGAGCCCCTGCACGACCCTTTCCCAAAACTGGGACTGGCCTTATTGCAGAGGTCCTTCCGATGAGGATGCTACTATCTAAATCGATAATAGAAATTCTCGGGCCCCCTAATTACAGTCTGAAGCTCACATTTCCCTGTCATCTGTCTAAGATCAATATGAAATGCCGTTTGGGCTTCCTAAAGAAGCTATCTCAACCTCGGGGCGGTCAATTCTCAAGCCGAGCTTGCGGGCTGCTTCCCTAAAAGGTTTTGGCTTGGGAACGCAAGCCTCGAGCACACGGGATTGCAGGATCAGGGTTGGTTTATGCAGGGCTGATGACTGGCATGGGCCCTGCGAGAACAGTATGATATTGATGACAAGGTTAGGCAGCCTTAGCAGGCCCTCGGAGTGAAGGACGAGATCAGACACACCAAACATTCAGGACCAGCAGCTCTCGCACTTCCAATCCTGCTTTCGAGTTGCATGTCGAGCCTCAAACTCCCACAGCTCCTTCCTCAACTCCCTAACCCCAACCTCACCCTTCTGAAGCTTCTGCCTGAATGCCGGGAATGGCATCCTGCCATGCTGCATGGCAACGGGAAGCCGCAGGCAGACTCTAAGACGCTTGAAACTACCACTCAAACTCCAAACACCAAATCTAAATTGGTCTCTTCGGAACTCTGCCACAACCTCGACATTCCCTACAACCAAGGCACCCTGTAGGTTCTGAGGGCCATATCACAGGGTTTATTTAGGGTCTGTTTCGACTTTCCTTGCACCGTACGTGAGAGTATTGTGTCAGGATGAAGGCCCTCTTGCTGCATAATTATGTCGAAGCTTGGGCTCTCCACAGACGAGCCCCTGCAGCACATAGCAGAACAAAAATCAAGCCGGTGCGTGGCTGTGACAAGGGACAGCCGGACAGCGACCAAGAGGTACCAGTAAACGACAAAATCTTAGTTGGCCTACTATCAATCTGCGACGGCTGCTGCGGAACACCCAAATATACCACATCTCAACATGCGGCCGTAAACGGGACGTTGCCAATGTGCATCATCTCCTCCCTACAACCTCAACCCTGCAACCATGGGCCATCCCTCCCAACTGCAGCTTGGGGTCCGGAGTTTGCAGTCCCCCGACAACCCCCAACCTCCAAACCCAAAGCCCTAAACCCCAATCTCTGAACAAATCCCCAGCCGAAGCTCCACGCAACAAAACCAAACCTACAACTTCTTTTATGTCGGGGCCTTATGCACTTGAACCTGTTGCAGCTGGGACTCCTTGATGGCCGGCAAATGGCCAGAGACTGCTTAACAGATCCGCAGCGAGCAAATCCCCACACTTGGGCAGCACGCACAATCGACTGACACAATAATGTTTGCATGCGTTGAATCTGCGAAGGTAACCTTGAGTGTCACAGTCCGGATATCCGCACCCCAAAGCCTTGGTGTCTATGCTTCGGCCGCTGCAAACCGAGCGAACAAGCAAAGGCGGAAGCATGCTGAAAACACTGCTTTCGGCTACATTCCTCTGCATCTATACAGGTGTTCTTTAACTTCAGCTTTTCAGAACCGAGAAAAACCTGTAAGACTGACAACAATGACTTGGTGAACCGGGGGCATGAAGTTTCCGTGAAACTGAGAACCCGGACAGTGTTCGACACATCCTGAAGTCGTCCTACTAAACATCGTGGGACGCTAACATTGAAGCCTGTAGAATCCGCAGAAATTCGAAGACCAGGATCTTCTTGCCAACGAAGCTTCTGGATATGAAGTGCGCTAAGTCAACGAGTTTTCGTCAGCACCCAACTTTTTGGCACTGGTGACCCCCGAAGCCACTTCAGCTACCGGAGCCCGCTTCAGATGTCAATCCATGCCGTTTACCTTTCTTGCCATGACAGCAGGTGACTGACAGCGTGTAAACTTGACGACCTGAGGACTTTGCCACATCTTCCAAGACATCTTGAAGGTCATCAACATTGGCTGCTGCAGCATCCCGCCCTTCTAGATGCATCACCTTCTGCCCATCTTGAAAGATGACAACCTTGGTGCGATCGATTCACGGCTGTCGGTCCGGTCGTCATGTGCTGCATCACAAGGCACCCTGCAAATAATGAAATTTCATGACATTTCCAGGTTAGAGCTGTGCAGCAGCTGGGAGGTCGCCCAGCTGAAGACTCTCGGCCACTCCTCTTTGCACTCTTCCAAACTATTTCACACTTGCTTGCCCTGCGTGTCCTGGCAAGCTGGAGGCGTCCAACGTCAGCACCTGCATCTGCCCGCCTGTGACAGACAACGCATTGGCCACCTCCCCACAGGCAGGACGGTTGCTGACCTAACTGGCGTCGAAGAATCTGCAGCGTACCATCCAGGGCCGCGGAGTCTTGTTCCCATTTTCCTGCAATGAAGCCAACTTGATGCAGCAGGCTATTCTCCGCATATTCAATGTTTGCTTTGATCGAAGCAATTTTCCTGGCGATCGCACTGCGCAACTGCTATGTCGGTCGGATGCGTCTCTGAACCGAGCTTTGCTACCACTAACTGCCTCCTTGCAAAATTCCGTCAAAGGAAGCTGCACATCTGATGATGCGTCGGAAGCGTTTCAATCGCCGTTTCTCAGGGGCGGGTAGCTCTGCCGAACTGTCCTCGGAACTAGCTAAAGCAAAATCAAAATGCGCAAACTGATCGGGATGACAGCGGACGAAGTTCTCTGTTACGGATACAGAATTCTCCAAATTCTCTACGAAGTGAGGCCACCTGGGCGGGGCATACACGACATCACCTGCGTCCAAAACCAATTCTTGGTAAGGGTGGCGAAGAATCGAAGCATCAGCCAAATACTCAGGATAGATGTGCCGCAATTGATCAGGATTGCTCAAGTCAACATGCAAGTCGTGCAAGAGCTCGGGCTCAAAGAACACAAACCTCTTCTGGCCTTCCAAGCACGCATTCCATGCAGCACTCCCAACCGGATCCAGGTGCAGTCTCGAGTAGCTGCCCTTGGGGCCAATGAAGAGCCAACGAAAATAGAAGATGAATTGCAGCAAGGGCGGTGCCAAAAATCGCAGACTTCGCCATCGTGTCAGAAAGTCATCTTCTTTGGTCAGGAAGTCAGGACGCTGGAAGTCATTGAGCAAACAATCGAAGGGAGGCTCGTACAGAACTTGGCTGGACCAGTATGATAGGCGGTCGGGAGAAGCAGCTTGCATTTCATCAAAAAACCCCTTCACCGACAGAGTTTCTGCACGTGGGGCACTCCTACAGAGTTGGCTCACTTTGGTAGGCAGCCGCTGCACCTTACTGGCGCACCCCCCGCTGCTCAGACATGCCCTGGCAACGCGCTCGAACATGTTAAAGCTGAAAAAGCGGAAGTTGAGGTGCTGGCTGCTATGTGCACATCAGCGTAGTTGTCTGCAATCCTTAGGCATAGGGATTTGCAGTTCACCTTCTTCCCTTGCTTGATGCTGAATAAGACTCCCGCATTGGCGTTGTTTCGGAATATGTCGGTATGTTGTTGAATCTCACATGCAAGCCTCCAACAGTTGCTCGTTCCATGAGCAAGCTAGCCTTTGCAGCACAACTCCCGGATAAACACTTGCTCGATAATCAAAACCTGTTGGCCTGCACCTTGCAAAACAAGGGTCTCAAAATGTTTCAATCAGTACTATTGGCGTCAACCTGAAAGACCTGAGCAGTGTGTGGCTCCAAAACCTCCTTCGGCGTGTCGCGGAAAATCGCGCTTGCCATGTTTGGTTGGTCTTTAGAAAAACCTTGATTCGGCATCTTGTGTGGGCCCGGAAAAGCCCGGATGGCTTCGCTTTGGTTTCTTTTTGCCACACACCAGTTTCCGTCAGCAATTGTGTCCGGCGAGGTCCGGCTCCTCGGGGAAGCTCGGTCCCGTCTTAGGGCCGGCTCAGCGCAGCGGCACGCGGCTCGGCCCTTCTGGGTCGATTCGATTCTCGCCGCTTCCCCACGTGATGCTTTATGGCCGTACAGGATAGCTCGCGAATGCACTTGGAAGCATCTCCACACTTAACTTGGGGACCTCAAATAGCGACAGAGACAGTCAAAGGTCGCGAAGGCTGCGTGCTCTGTGCAATCAATGGCTTCAGCATCGCTTGCCGAAAGGACTGTATGGTGCGCTGTGTGATTTTGTTACACCGGGATACAACGCTGTCGCACAAAAGAGAATCATGAGCATCATGCCGGTTTTTTTTTGTTTTTTTTTTACACGCACCTTTTTGCCACTGCGAGTAAAGAAGGTCCAGGTCCCTGTGCCAACTGCAAGCTACGGCGGTGGGACGCCTACGCACGGGCAGGGAGGCGGCTGGGCTCAGGAGCCTCCTGCCAGCGAGCGTCTGCAAGGAGCTCGTGCAGAGCTGGCGGCGGGCCAGCAGCACCAAGCTCCGACTGGAGGGGGAGCTCCAGGAAAGTGGCAGCGAGCGCACGCTGCGCCGCAACGGAGATGAGGCCACTCCAGCGGAGAACCCATGCGGCTTGGGCGGAGTTGCGGACAGCGGCAGGGGCATTGGCTGCGCGCGCCCGGGCGAGGAGGCGAACAAAGGTGGCGGCTTCCTCAGCCCAGCGTCCGCCAACCTCGAGACCAAACACGACCAAGCGACAGCGGCAGCTGCGGTCGATCTCTGGGTACGTTTGCCGGCGTTTGCGTCGCGCGGCATTGCGGACGGCCCAACCAGGGTGGTTGTCGGCTCCGTCACGCGGGCGGCCATCGCGGGTCACCGGGCTGACAAGCGTGGCGTCAACGGCAAGTTGCGCGCCGTGCCAAAGCGGCAGGCCGTTGCAGACGACCTCGATGCGCCGCGCATCGTGGACCGGCACATCAATGTTCATGGCAGCTAGCGCGACATTGCGTCCGACCCGCGCCCCGGCTTCTTGGCAGACGCGGGCGATGGCGCGTTCCAGGGGCAATGCTCGGGACGCGAGCATGCCTGATGTGGAGCATGCAGCTCGGTGGTCTCCGTACGCATCGAGCGCGCCGCGGCAGGAGTAGCTGCGCGGGCCAAGCGGGAGGGGCATGCGCAAGCGGCGCAGGAGCAGGACGCGGAAGTGCGAGTCGGGTATGGCAACATCATCCGACGTGGGCAGCACCGTGAAGGCACGAGCCGCGTGAGGACCGGCTTGCGAGAGCAGCAGCGCTCGGGACACAGGGGACAAGTCAGCAAGGTGCGTCTCGAGTGTGCGCTCATCGCAAGCGTGGGAGGCTCTGCGCTGCCATCCACGCAGGAAATCGGCGGGCTCGTCATGTCGGGAGTGCAGGTCCGGCAGTTCGGAAAGGGCCTCATCCCAGGCCGGCACTGCGTAGCCTTGTGCGGTCAAGTAAGCCGCTGCCTGTGTTGCAGCCAACGGCGAAGGCAACCGCGCAGCTCTGTCCTCGCGTAAGGCTGCGAGCAGGCGCTCCGCAGCTGAGGGGACTCGGGCTTGGATGACCGGCAGGGTGTCCATCCAAGAAGCTCAGTAAGCTGCGTGGCGGTCGGCATCAGCTGCTCGCAGACCGAGTCCGCCAAACCGCAGCGCAAGGCGTGCTGCCCCTGGTTGGGGGGGCAGCGGCGCGTCCGCAAGGCCCAAGAGCGCTGAGAGGCAGCAGCCGACGGCAGCGTCATGCGAGGAAGCATAGGCTGCAGTCGTAGCTGGGGGCAGGGAACGCAGGAGGTAGTTGGCCCGTGGAGCAGCACAGTAGTGCAGCAATAGCCATGCTGCCTGCAAGTCTTGGACCGACTGGATGCGCTGCAGGAGGCGGTCATGCTCGTCGCGTTTGAGTGCCAAGCGGTGTTGGACGTAGGCGTAGGCGTCGCTGCCGACAGGCGTGCCGAGGACAGTGAGCCCTTGTTGGGTTGGCGGGAGCGTCCAATCCCCGACCCAAACGGCGTCAGCCTCGCCCTGCAGCGCGGCGATGCCCGGTGGCTCCTCGACTGCCGCGTTCCAAACTCGCGTCTTGCGGCTGTTGAGCTCGATGCGCGGCCCACAATGCCCGCTGGTACGCCGAGTGCAGCTCGTGGATCCGCTCCGGGGTGGCGATGATAAGATACGCAAAGATGGCCTCCCCGTCCCACAGTTGCCCCTGCACCTCTTCAAGCGTGGGGTGTTGAGCGAGCGAGAACAGGGTGGGCATCAGCGGATCTCCTTGTTCTCCGCCCTCCGCTTGCGCGATGCTGTGGGAAGCCCCCTGCCCATCGGTCCATGTGCACGTGCTGGCAGCACCGTAGAATTGCCGAGCATAAGCGAGGAGCGGCCGGAGCTCTGGGCGGGCATGCAGGGCAGTCAGCATTGCCTGCCGGGAGACGTGATCGTAAGCACCCACTGCGTCGACGGACAGGATCGTTGCACGAGGGTCGACTTCAGTTGCGGCTCTCAGGACTCGTGGCAATGCCTTAGCGCCAGCACGACTGCTGAGGCCGTACTGGAAAGGCAGACAGACAGCTTCGAGTCGCAGCGCGAAGGCTTGCGCGAGCGTTCGGCCCACTAGCCGTCGCAAAACGTCGCC